AAATGGGACAATGTCTCAAATTCTTAGTGCTTCCTTATCTGTAATTAGTGACTGCACTATTTTTTACTGATCACAGCCACAAATCAACGTTGCAAGCCACGGATAAACAGGGCTGTCGAATACTATTTCTGCAGGGCATTGATTAGCTTGACTTGTTCAGGCAATGTGTAATCTCTTTCTGCTGTGAACGAACGTGCGGGATGCATGAGGCAACAGAAAAGCGCCTTGAAGTCATTGCTTGGTTCCTTAAATAATATATGCACATCATAAGCGACTGTGGGAGCAACTGAATTTCAACTGGCACTGAATGAGCAGAGGATTTCTCACTGTTAATTAATTGTTCAATTGTCTTATTCCCGCTTGTCGAAATTTCGTGTAATCCGGCTGTAAGAATAGGATTAAAAGTAAGCATTGTGAAAATAAGCGTAATGAACGTAACAACCAAAACGGAATGGAATTTTTTGTCTGATTATGTAGCTTAAGTAATGATTCATTGTAGTGAACTGCCTTGAGCTAGCAGATGTGAATAAAATGAAAGCCGTTGTTAAGCCGTTTCGGTTTTTCAAGATTCACAGTAAACGTGGAACTGGACGTATCAGCAGTGAAGCTGTCGCATTTGCGTTTTCACGCATAATTTGAAGCCTTCATTTTCTCAGAACGTTATGTGAAGCTGCTAGATCGATTCTAGAAGCGTTACCTGTAAATGCTTTTCAGGTGGCCCAGTTTTACAGATGAATCTCGAATTAGCATGTGCAAATGAAGTTTATGCAAACCAAATACATCGTTATAAAAACGCTGCGGTGGATGTCTGGTCTCATTTGTTGGGATGTTCTAAAAAGATACCTGAAATTTGTAGAGAAGACTTTCGTCTCGAAATCCTTATATGACACAGATGGCTTCAGGTCAGTGCAATTTTTAGAAACATCTTGTGCAAAACCCTGTGTTCAATCAGGAATTTATCACCTAAAAACAATCCGAAGACACCATTTCACTTAATCAAACATGATTAACCAGACTACTCTATCGCTTACTCTTACACGGTTTAACTTCAGATACTAAACATTCCATAAACGAGGAAACCAGGTGAGGAAAGAATAAAGTATCATGAGGCATAAAGACAGGAAAGCTTGATCTCGCAAAGGCTAATGAATTAAATGTCAATTTGGCTATAATTCCAAAATCTGATATTCTGATATTCTGATGAAAGAATTGTGCACTGTGTCCCGATTTATCTCCAAGAAAAATAGAACGACATAGTTCATCGTTTGGTGAAGGATAGTGATAGCCAAGTTGATTTAATCCTAAAGATGCACGAGAGCCCTTGCAATTAAGTTAATGGTTTGATCGCTGTGAGTTACTGCGGTTAAATGTCAAGCCTGGAAACTCTAACTGTCGAAAATGTGAGTTAACCACGGCACACCAAAAAATAAGCTCGTTTCACTTCAGCTTTGCTTCTGTAAAGCGAGTTATTGCCGCCAGTCACTCAGAGTCAAATGCACCACCTTTGACTGCAATGCTCATGTAAACAATAAGGTTAAATCGCCGCGCAGTGAAGACCACATTAAGAAAATAAGAAAGGTTTTATTCGACTACACGAGTACCCTTAGATCAGTGAGAAAAATGTTTAACGCGATTGCAGAGATGATGTTAAAGTCATAACGCAAATTAGTCCATATTTTCCTGCGAAAACAGCCACTTTGGAAAATTACACAGATCAGGTTCTGTGCAACTCGAACTAACGATGACAATAGAAACAATGAAGTGCAACATGAAGCACTGCGAGAAATACGCCTCGTAGTATGAAGTAGCATTCGTTGTTTAGGGCTAAATTAATATAATTATTGCAAATGGTTTAACAGATAAAAGTGATTAAACAGAAGTAGCTTGAACGAATGAAGTTTAGGTTTTGAGCATACTCCACATATGCTCGCAACTTCATGTTGGGTAGTTTCCTTTACAAGTGATGAATACGAAGATTTCTTTATGATCATAACACATGTCGCAGCTTAGTCAGTTTATTACATAAAACTTTCTGGTCTTGTATAGCTTCTTAGGTTAACGTTAGCTCGTTCTCGCATATCTTTGACGTGGACATTTGTGCACTTCACACATGGTTTAGCTTAAGATGACTATGACGATAAAGGTAATAGCACATGATGGCTTCAATGTCGTCTCGTGGGTTCTTTCGATTTGAGTTCGGTTAGGTTTCTACTTTATATCAAGTCGTTAGAGTGGCTCTCGACGTGGGTGCACAGCGTTAGATGGCGCTACATGGATAACATGTGAAAAGACTTTACCATACATCTGTTTAAAT